CCCCCTGGTGTGTTCTCAGTTCCATAAATCCCCAAATATTCTAGAAACAATCATATTTAATTTTCAGGGCATTTGGAGAACTTTTATTTTCGAGGTATTTTTGTATTGCACAGATAATCAGATAACAGACAGACAAATATTTATTTTAATTTTATTTAATATAAATAATAGAAAGTAAAAGTGGGATACAGAAGGTTGTGCCTTCTAGTTTCATCCATCTCATGATCATCAAAAGGGATCCTCTAACAAGGTTGATCAAGTCTTGTTAATGAACTCATTCCGAATAACATGGAACCGGAGAAATTTCGAATAACACTATGTTACCTCAATGGGGATATGCACATCCCCAATAATAAGAATATCATATTTCTTCTTGACAGTAGGAAGAGGGAAATTCAAAACCTCCAAATATAATCGATGGAATTTTTCCAATAGAGTTGATACTATGAACTTGAGGTTGTTTCCTCGGAAAGTGTACCGTATGCTCATTGCCATTAACATGAAAAGTGACAATGCCTTTAGTGCAATCAATAATAGCCCCTGCAGTATTCAAAAAGGGTCTTCCAAGAATAATAGACATACTATCGTCCTCGGGAATATCAAGAATAACAAAGTCCGTTAAAATAGTAACATTTGCAACTACAACAGGCACATCCTCACAAATACCGACAGGTATAGCAGTTGATTTATTAGCCATTTGCAAAGATATTTCAGTAGGTGTCAACTTATTCAAATCAAGTCTACGATATAAAGAGAGAGGCATAACACTAACACCGGCTCCAAGATCACATAAAGCAGTTTTAACATAGTTTCTTTTAATGGAGCATGGTATAGTGGGTACTCCTGGATCTCCAAGTTTCTTTGGTATTCCACCCTTAAAAGTATAATTAGCAAGCATGGTGGAAATTTTAGCTTCCGGTATCTTTATTTTATTTGTAATTATATCTTTCATGTACTTATCATAAGGATTGGTTTTGAGCATATCAGTTAATCGCATACGCAAAAAGATAGGTCTAATCGTTTCAGCAAAGCGCTCAAAATCCTCATCTTCCTTTTTCTTGGATGGTTTGAGAGGAAAGGGCATGGGTTTCTGAACCCAAGGCTCTCTTTCGTTACCATGTTTCCTAGCAACGAAGTCTTTCTTATCATAACGTTGATTCTTTGATTGTGGGTTATCAAGATCAACATCAGGTTCAATTTCTATATTATTATCATTACTAGGTTGAGCATCATCATGAACATTATCACTAGTTTCAGGTTCATTACCAGATTGTGTTTCAGCATCAGAAATAGAGATATCATTTGGATTCTTAGGTGTTTCAATAATAGGATCACTAGAAGCATGCAAAGTCCTATCATTTTTCGTTTTCTTCTTTTTAGAAGAACTAGGTACATTTATATTATTTCTCTGAGAATCTTGCTCAATTCTCTTAGGGTGGCCTTCAGGATACAAAGGTTCCTGAGTCATTCTACCAGTTCTAGTAGCCACTCTAACAGCATTATCATTATCTTTACTATTCAATTCATTGAGAAAATCATTTTGAGCTTTAAGTACTTGTTCTACTTGAGTGGTAACCATAGAAGCATGTTTACTAATAAGTTTAAGTTGACCTTTGACATTAGCCATATAATCACCCAAGTGTCCAAGCATATTTGAATTGTATTTTAATTGTCTACCAAAATAAGCATTAAAATCTTCTTGCTTAGCCATAAATTTAGCAAACTCATCTAAGCATGGGCTAGCAATTTTAGTAAATGGGATTATAGCTTTATCATATCTATAGAGAGAATTTACCTTTACTACCTGTGCCGGGTTATCAAGACCATGAGTTTCTTCAATAGGTAAAGGATTAAGATTATATGTTTCTTCAACAGGCGGCAGATTAAGACCATGTATTTTCTTAACATCTTCAGCTTTAATACCCTTTTCTTTCATAGATTTCTTTGCCTCTTGCATATCTTCAGGACTGAGAAATAGAATACCCCTCTTCTTCGGAGTTGGTTTAGGAATAGGCTCAGGAATTGGCTCCGGAGGTTTCCAATTATTTTCATTTGTCAACATATTATTCAATAGAATTTCGGCTTCATCCGGTGTTCTTTCCCTGAAAACAGAACCATCACAACTATCCAGGTAATCTCTGGAGGCATCGGTTAGTCCATTATAAAAGATATCAATTATTTCATTTTTCTTAAGAGAATGATCAGGCAAAGCATTAAGTAATTGGAGAAGCCTCCCCCAAGCTTGTGGGAGACTCTCTTCTTCAATTTGCACTAAATTATATATATATCCCTTAAAGCAGCTTGTTTCTTATGAGCAGGGAAATATCTAGCAGAGAAGTAATAAATCATATCCTGGGGACTACGCACACAACCAGGATCAAGAGAATTAAACCATATCTTAGCATCACCCTTTAATGAGCACAGAAATATTTTAAGGATATAAAAGTAGCGAGTTCTCTCATCTTTAGTGAACAGGGTAGCTATATCATTCAGTTTAGTAAGATGTGCCACAACAGTTTCAGATTCATAACCATGAAAAGGATCAAATTCAACCAAAGTAATTATATCAGGATCAACAGAGAATTCATAAACCTTATCAGTAACAAAGATAGGCGAAGTAGAAAAAGCAGGGTCATGTTTCATTCTAGCATTTAGAGATTGCTTGCTCCATTTAGCTAATAATTTTTTTAGTTTAGTTCTATTACTGCAAGCTAAAATAGCTAAAGAAGCATCTTGATCAAAAACATAACCCTTAGGAATGGCAAGTGGTTCTTCATCATCACTTTCATCAGTATCATCAGATTCAATATTTTCAATTTCTCTAGCCCTAGCAAGCTGTTCATCAAGAAAAGCACGAAGTGGCATAGTAGTATTAGGCATAGAGGTAGTTTCATCATAAGTATCATGCATAGCATAAGTGGCATCATCAATAACATGCGACATATCAGAACGAATAGCAGAAGCAGGTGTAGGTGTCGCAAGCTTACTCAAAACAGAAGGTGAATCAAGTGTAGAGCTAGATGGCAGTTCCTTACCTCCCCTCGTAGTTGAGGGATAGATCTTGGTTTTTGGATCTCTCAACTTCTTCATAATGATAAGCAGATATATATCCCAAGTGACTCAAAGAATAGAGCTATGCTCCCCGGCAACGGCGCCAGAAAATAGTCTTGATAACCCACAAGTATAGGGGATCGCAATAGTTTTCGAGGGTAGAGTATTCAACCCAAATTTATTGATTCGACACAAGGGGAGCCAAGAATATTCTCAAGTATTAGCAGCTGAGTTGTCAATTCAACCACACCTGGAAACTTAATATCTGCAGCAAAGTGTTTAGTAGCAAAGTAATATGATAGTGGTGGTAATGGTAGCAAAAGGTAACAGTAGTAAAAATAATGTTTTTGGTATTTTGTAGTGATGATGGCAATAGAAACGGAAAATTAAATAAGTGAAGAACAATATATGGAAAGCTCGTAGGCAATGGATCGGTGATGGAGAATTATGCCGGATGCGGTTCATCTTGTAACAGTCATAACCTAGGGTGACACAGAACTAGCTCCAGTTCATTGATATAATGTAGGCATGTATTCTGAACATAGTCATACGTGCTTATGGAAAATAACTTGCATGACATCTTTTGTCCTACCCTCCCGTGGCAGCGGGGTCCTTACGGAAACTAAGGGATATTAAGGCCTCCTTTTAATAGAGAATCGGAACAAAACATTAACACATAGTGAACACATGAACTCCTCAAACTACGGTCATCACCGGTGAGTATCCCGATTATTGTCACTTTGGGGTTAACGGATCATAACACATAATAGGTGACTATAGACTTGCAAGATAGGTTCAAGAACACTCATATATTGATGAAAACATAATAGGTTCAGATCTGAAATCATGGCACTCGGGCCCTAGTGACAAGCATTAAGCATAGCAAAGTCATAGCAACATCAATCTCAGAACATAGTGGACACTAGGGATCAAACCCTAACAAAACTAACTCGATTACATGATAGATCCCATCCAACCCATCACCGTCCAGCAAGCCTACAATGGAATTACTCATGCACGGCGGTGAGCATCATGAAATTGGTGATGGAGGATGGTTGATGATGACGATGGCGACGGATTCCCCTCTCCGGAGCCCCGAACGGACTCCAGATCAGCCCTCCCGAGAGGTTTTAGGGCTTGGCGGCGGCTCCATATTGTAAAACGCGATGATTTCTTCTCTATGATTTTTTCTCCCCGAAACTCAATATATGGAGGTGGAGGTGGAGTCAGAGAGGCAATAGGGCGCCCACGAGGTAGGGGGCGCGCCCCCACCCTCGTGGCAAGGTGGTGGGCCCCCTAGCCTTCATCTTTGGCAGGTATTTTTCTTATTTTCTGAAAAGTGTCTCCGTGAAGTTTCAGGTCATTCCGAGAATGTTTGCTCCTGCACATAAATAACACCATGGTAATTCTGCTGAAAACAGCGTCAGTCCGGGTTAGTTCCATTCAAATCATGCAAGTTAGAGTCCAAAACAAGGGCAAAAGTGTTTGGAAAAGTAGATACGTTGGAGACGTATCAATCCCCTATCATAGTAAATTCAGTGTTATTTTAACACTGAGCCTCTTGCATAAACACCGGTGCAGCACAGCCGTATGTACAAGAAGCAGAGCGCATCAGTTCATGCTCGAGCCCCGAAGAAGGTAGCAATGTTTGGGTTTTCCTCAAGGATGTCAGACACTTTTTATAGTATGTTAAATGCATATAATGTTGTTAATTTATGAGAATTATTTATTTACCTAGTGGATCCCCAATTGTATATCCATCCCTATCAATGCAAAGCTGAGCCATGTTCCACTTTTACTGCTCTACATTATATTTTCACTACCTGAAGGGGTTAGTATGCTCCTTGTCTTTTTCATCAACATGCGTCACATTATTTTTCCATGTCAATCTTCTGAAGAATCTGAAGTTTCTGAACCTCTGTTGGTAATGCTGCAGGGTTCTGGTGGCGATGCCGACGGTCGTCGAGAGGTTCATGGACTGGACGGTGTCATGTCTGCCGATGTACGGAGAGGTGAAGCTGCTGCTCGTCATCTACCTTTGGCACCGCAACACACGGGTAAGCAGTCGATCAGACACCCCGAGCCCGAGAGATGATCAACATTTCAGATAGACTTGATTCGGTATGTGGCCAATTCTGAATCTGAATCTTAATGGTGTTCGGATTTCAGGGTGCGGGGCACATGTATGATTGCTTCCTCCATCCGCTGGTGGCGTGGCACGAGGCCGACATCGACCGGGGCCTTCTTGATCTAAGGGCTAGGGAGAGGGACGTGACAGCATCACAACTCAAGGCGGCGACTGCCATCGGTCAAGTGTTTCGTCACAGCTACAGGCCACGAGATCAGGCCGGGAAGGCGCCACGCATTGACGAGTGAGCCAATTTTTGGATTGGACCATAACAATGTGTCTCAGTCTCTGACGTCTAGAAGTAGTGGTAAACTTTTGAATTTCCATGGCAAGAACCACTTATGTAGGTAGCTGACACGTACAACACTGTGTTTACACTCTTACTTATGTAAAAGATATGAATTACACATGAGTTTCCTCTACAATGAGGAACTGTGATAGTAGATACGGCAATTGTGTGATAGAATGGAATTGATTGATTTTTTTTAATTTCTAATAAGATAGTAGTAGTGTTGGTAGTATGGGCACGCTACTACTATTTCGTGAGTAGTAGCGCGGGTACGAAATAGTAGTAGCATGGGTGGCACACGCTGAGGGAGTCCTGGACTAAGGGGTCATCGGGCGTCTGGCCTGTTAGCCATGGGCGGGACTGATCGGCTATGAAGATACGAAGACCAAAGACTGCACCCGTGTCTGGATGGGACTTTCCTTGGCGTGGAAGGCAAGCTTGGCGGCCAACTATGTAGATTCCTTTCTCTGTAACCGACCTTGTGTAACCCTAGATCCCTCCCGTGGCTATATAAACCGGAGGGCTAGGTCCGTAGATAGGCCGAATACTCATTACCATAGTCATACAGGCTAGACTTCTAGGGTTTAGCCATTACTATCTCATGGTAGATCAACTCTTGTAATACTCATATCTATCAAGATCAATCAAGCAGGAAGTAGGGTATTACCTCCATAGAGAGGGCCTGAACCTGGGTAACATCGTGTCCCCTGTCTCCTGTTACCATCGACCTTAGACGCACAGTTCGGGAGCCCCTACCCGAGATTCGCCGGTTTTGACACCGACACTGGTGCTTTCATTGAGAGTTCCACTGTGCCGTCTACAACAGGATCGATGACTCGCCTCGTCCTTAAAGACAATATCACTACCGGAGGAGAACTGGCCCCAGGCCAAACCCTCCGGTTGGGCAGCTTTACTATGACCGCCCGTTCGGCCATTAAGCTGACGATGACCTCCCGGGCCATTGAAAATCCTCTTCGTATCGACCCTAAACACTCCAAGCAGATGGATCTGGCGGAGTTTTCGTCTTTAAACGAGCTCCTTGATCGTATTGCCGCCCTGGGAATCGCCACAGATTACGATCGGATCATGCTCAAACCCGACCAAATAGAAATCAAATCTCCGTCGATCACCCACCAGATAGCGGTAGTCAGGGAGCAAGACGGCGACTCTTCCTCTATACTGAAGACGGACTACGTACGGATCGCCGACCCTGTAGAGCTGGATACCCACCTGCAAAAGGAGGTGATCGTCCTTCCGAACATAGAATCGGATGGCAGGCAAAGGCAACCAGAAGATACTTCGGAGCCCGGACTGCTAAGTCTGGAAAAACGTTAGACTCCAGATCATCGACCGGGTCAGGGTCCAGATCCAATTCGACCCACCCACCCAGACATAAACGCTCTCAGGAGCATACAACAGAAGTCTCAGGAAACGGTCTACCACTTCTGGGCTAGATTCCTCCTTGTCTTGGACAAGGTTAAAGATTGCCGCGACGAGGATGCGATATCAGCGTTCCACAACAATTGCATGAACGAAGGAATCCTCAATGCCATTAATCGCCGCCGCATACTACACTTCGCTGACTTGGCAACTATCGTACAGAAGTACAGCACAATGGAAAGCGCCTGGAGGGATCAGGCAACTTATTGGGAGCCATCGGTCCCAACTCAACCACTGGTCTAGGCGAAAAGGGCGCATCCCCGTGACACGCCCAGTCCAATAGCCAAGAAATACAAACCCATTACGCGGCGCGGAATCATTCTGGAGGGATGGTTCGATGGCCCATGCAAAATACACACAACACCGAATACCATACCAACCCACAACCTTAGAACATGTTGGATACTCCGGCAGGTAGCCAAAAGTGGCGAGGGCATCCTTACCAAAAACACCCCAGAGCAACACCCTCCAGAAGACAAGGACCCCAGAGTACGGACGGTCTTCGAGACATTCGCTTCAAACAATAAGCGCAAAAGGGCACTTCGCCGCCTCGCGAAGTCTGTCAAATCGCCACAGTAAACCCTTGGAACAACACGGCTATAACCTTTAATGCCGGCGACGAACCAAAATACAGGACAATCCGAGCACCAGCCGCTTTAGTCCTCAGTCCCATCGTGGACGGCTTTCGACTCACCAAGGTCCTCATGGACGGTGGCAGCAGACTAAACCTCATCTATGAGGATACACTCCACAAAATGGAAATACACAGGAGCCGCATCAAGCAAAGCAGCACGACTTTCCGAGGAATTATTTCCAGTAGGGAGGCGCGGTGTGTGTGGGAAAAATCACACTTGACGTGGTATTCAGCACGTCGGAGAATTATCGGACCGATGAAATCACCTTCCAAGTGGCTCCTTTCAGCAGCGGATACCACGCCCTGTTGGGGCAGGATGCTTTTACACGCTTCCAAGCTATACCTCATTATGGGTACATGAAGCTCAAAACCCCCGGACCAAATGGCATAATCACTCTTGTCAGTGATCCAGACATAGCACTCCGCGCCGAAAACAAAACCGCATCCCTGGCCCTTGAGGCATTATCTGAAGCCCTCGCGGCCAAAGAATTAACTACACTGCGCTCCACGGTGGATAGGGATGATGTGGTCTTAGACAAATGACCCAAATCCACCTCCTTCAAACTGGCAGAAGAAATAGTCAAATTCCAGGTCCACCCAACGGACCCCAAGAAGACACCATCTATTGGAGCACAACTAGACCCAACGGTCGACGCTGCACTAAGGGATTTCCTTCATGAAAACTGGGATATATTCGCCTGACACCCTTCTGACATGCCTGGAATCCCACGTGAGCTGGCCGAACATAGCCTTAATATCATAAAGGGACACAAACCAATCAAACAAGCATTGCGGTGCTTTTCCAAGCCCAAATGCCAAGCTATGGGGGAGGAGCTATTCAAGCTAATTGAGGCCGGATTCATCAGAGAAATAAAACATCCGGACTGGCTGGCAAACCTGGTGCTGGTACCAAAGAAGGACAAATCCTGGCGGTTGTGCGTCGATTTTAAAGACTCAATAAGGCTTGCCCTAAGGATCCCTTCCCCCCCGAATCAATCAAATCATTGATGCTACCGCAGGGCACGACTCACTGTGTTTCCTTGATGCATATTCCGGATACCATCAAATTAAATGAAGGAGTCCGATCAAGCTGCAACAACAATCATTACCCCATATGGGCCATTCTGCTTCAACACCATGCCCTTCGGGCTCTAGAACGCCGGCGCCACATACCAATGCATGATTCAAACATGCCTGGAGAAACAGATGGGCAAGATAGTTGAAGCTTATGTGGACGACGTCGTCATCAAAACTAGGTGCGTCGAAACACTAATAGACGATTTACGTCTCACATTTGATAACCTCCACGCATATGACATTAAGCTCAATCCGGAAAAGTGCGTTTTCGGCGTCCCCGCTAGAAAACTGTTGGGCTTCATCGTTTCCAATAGAGGAATTGAAGCAAATCCAGCCAAAATCCGAGCTCTGTCACAATTGGATATGCCAACAGAGCTTAAACAAGTCCAAAAGCTCGCGGGTTGCGTGGCAGATCTAAGCCGCTTTATCTCCAGATTGGGAGAAAAGGCACTGCCACTCTATCGCCTTCTACGGCGAACCGATCACTTCGAGTGGACGGACGCGGCAACAGCCGGACTGGAGGAAATAAAAACCCTTCTTGCGAGCAACCCAATCCTAGCCGCGCCAAACGCCAGTGAACCGATGTTATTATACATATCGGCAACACATCAGGTAGTGAGCATCGTGCTCATCGTTGAATGAGAATAGCACGGACACAAATTCCCGCTTCAGAAGCCAGTATACTACGTATCCACTGTCCTTACACCATGCAAATCCCGATACCCCATTATCAAAAGATAGCATACGCGGTCTTCATGGCATCCCGAAAGCTCCGTCACTATTTCCAGGAGCATTCGATCACGATGGCTTCCGAAGTACCACTCAATGACATTATAAACAACCGCGATGCCACGGGCCGGATTGCCAAATGGGCCATTGAGCTCCTCCCATTTGATATTACATACACACCACGTCGAGCTATTAAATCCCAAGTACTGGCCGACTTCATTGTCGAATGGACAGAGGCCGAACTCCCTAAAGAGTATGGCACATATTCCAATTGGGTTATGTATTTCAATGGCTCCAAAATGTTGGCAGTGCTGGGGGCGGGCGTCGTTCTCATGTCACCTACTAGAGACGTCGTTCAGTACGTACTCCAAATACTATACACAGACTCCAACAATGCAGCCGATTACGAGGCCTTATTGCATGGTCTCCGGATGGTTGTCTCCATGGGCATACAACGCCTAGAAGTGCGCAGGGACTCAAACCTTGCAATATCTCAAATAAATGGAGACTTCGACGCCAAAGATCCGAAGATGGTAGGTTATCGTAATGCTATCATAAAATGTCGGTCTGGTTCGAGGGGCTCCAGATCCATCATGTGGCTCGAGAGAGTAATCAAGCGGCGGACGTTCTTGCTCATATCGGCGCTAAGCGCGACCCCGTCCCACCTAATATCTTTCTGGAAAGGCTTTTTAAGCCATCCATGGTGTGGTAGGGGGAAAATGGCAACACTAGTCCGAATCCGAACATAACCCCATATTCCGAAAACAGCGACATTATCGGAGGCTCAGCCACTGAAATTCCACCGTCAGCGCATCTCATCATGGCAGTCATTGCCCCATGGACTGAACCCTTCCTGGCCTACCTTAACAAGAAGGAGCTTCCTGAGGACCATAATGAAGCCCGCCGCATTGTCCGGCGTTCGAAGGCCTACAAGGTCACGGAGAGCTCTATAAGAAAAGCGCTACCGGAGTCCTTCAAAGATGTATCTCCGAGGAGGAGGGGCGGCAGCTCCTGGCTGAGATTCATGCCGGTCTCGGCGGGCACCATGCCGCAGCTCGGGCCCTTTTTAGCAAGGCCTT